CGGTCCAAGAAACCCCTGAGACGGCCCAAGAGGACCCCAAGAGGGCCCCAAGGCGGCCGCGAGAGGCCCCCAAGACGGCCTCCGAAGGGGCGAAACGGCGCGAAAGCGCCCCAAGACGGCCCAAGACGCCCCCAAGAGGCCCCAAGAGGCCACCAAGAGGCCCCCAAATGGCCCCAAAAAGCCCCCCAGAGACCTCCGAAAAGTCCCCAAGAAGCCTCCAAAAGGCCCCAAAGAAGCCCCCCAAAGGCCACATAGCGACTGGAGTGTAATATTATTTCCCCCCCTGGACGAACTGCGGCGCAGCGCCAGCCAGGTGGAAGTTGGTCACGGCGGCGCCCATGATTAGAGCCAGCGCTGGAAGGGAAGATGGGGAGGGAGTCAAAAAAGGGGGGAAGAGGCCAGAAGAAGTCCCCAAGAGGCCCAAAGAAGCTCCCAAGAGGCCTCCAGGAGGCCCCCAAGAGGCTCCCAGAAGGCCCCGCGACGTGACTGTACGTGCTCCGGACGTGCACCCCGCGAAGCGAGAGGAATCCATCATCATCATCATCATCATCATCATCATCATCATCATCACCACCACCACCACCACCACCACCACACACATCATCATCATCATCATCATCATCATCATCATCATCATCATCATCATCATCATCATCATCATCATCATCATCATCATCATCATCATCATCATCATCATCATCATCATCATCATCATCTCATCATCATCATCATCATCATCATCATCATCATCATCATCATCATTATCATCATCATTATCATCATCATAATCATCATCAGCATCAGCATCAGCATCAGCATCAGCATCACCGTCACCATCACCATCACCATCACCACCACAACCACAACCATCATCATCAACCAAATCATCATCATCATCATCAGCAGCAGCATCATCATCATCGTCATCATCATCATCATAATCCTCATCCTCATCCTCATCCTCATCCTCATCATCATCATCATCACCACCACCATCATCATCGTAATCATCATCAGCAGCATGACCATCATCATCATCATCGTCATCATCATCATCAACATAGTTATCATCATCATCACCATCATCGTCAGCATCTGCAGCAGAATCATCAGCATCGTTAACATCGTCATCATTGTCATCATCATCAGCAGCAGCATCAGCAGCAGCATCATGATCATCAGCATCATCATCATCCGTAGCATCATCCATCATCGTGGTCGTCATCATCGGAAGCATAAACATCACCATCACCACAATCATCAGCAACAGCATAATCAGCATCATCGTCATCATCATTGACATCATCGGAAGCATCAGCACCATCATCACCACCATCATCAGCATCACCATCATCACCATAATCGTCATCATCATCATCCGCA